TGGAGACTTAAAAGAAACAATTTTTATGTCTCAACCTCCTGGCTTTATTAATAAAGAGTTTCCTAAACATGTTTGTCTTCTTAAAAAATCTATCTATGGACTTAAACAGTCCCCCATACAATGGAATTTGAAGTTTGATTCCTGCATGAGTGAACTTGGGTTTTTAAGAAGTAAATATGATACTTGCTTGTATTATAAACATGTTGGAACTGAAAATGTTGTTTATATCATGTTGTATGTTGATGATATTCTCTTAATTGGTCCTTGTAAAATGCTGATTGTTAGTGTTAAGGATGATCTGAAACTGCATTTTGACATGAAGGATATTGGTTCTGCTAAGAGAATTTTGGGTATTGACATTACTAGGGATAGATCCAATAGGAGCATGTTCTTGTCACATGGTGATTATTTGACTAAAATCTTGGATAGGTTTAATATGAATGATTCTAAATCCACCCTCTTACCCTTAGGAGGGCATTTAGAACTCTCTAGAGATCCCTATCCTATGACTTTAGAAGAATCTGAGAAAATGGCTAAGATCCCCTATGATGTTGCTTCTGGTTCTCTCATGTATGCCATGTTATGTACTAGGCCTGATCTTGCTTTTGCTGTTAGCATACTTAGCAGATTTATGTCTGATCCTAGGACCAAACATTGGACTGCTATGAAATATACTCTAAGATATTTGTCTGGTACTAAGAACCTTGGTCTGAAATACTCTAATTCTGATTTGTGTGATCTGAAAGGTTTTGTTGATTCTGATTATGCTGGATGTAAAGATTCAAGAAAATCTACTACTTCTTGGTTCTTTACTTGGGATGGTAACTGTATATCTTGGAAATCTCAACTGCAGTCTGTAGTAGCTTTATCTACTACAGAGGCTGAGTATATTGCAGCCACTTAGGCTATCAAAGAGGCAAAATGGTTAAAAGGTATAGTGGGTGAAGTTCTGGGGACAAATGTTGTTCCTAGTGTCTTCTCTGATAGCCAAAGTGCCATATACTTGTGCAAAGACCCTATGTATCATGAAAAAACTAAGCACATAGATGTCAGATTTCATTACATTAGGGATGAGATTTCTAAAGGTAATATTAAATTGATAAGATTACTGGAGATGTTAACCCTGCTGATTTTGGTACTAAAATTGTTCCTACAGCTAAGTTTTTGTTTTGCAAGCGGTTCTTCAAAATCTTTGAAGTACCTTGATCTTGATGTTACTTGGTTGGGTTGATGATGAAAGGGTGTTATCTGGTTTCATGAATCCGATCACTAGCAATGATGATATCTACTCTTATGAGCTGTGCTGCACCGGAATTAGTCTTAGGAGGGCAAATTGGTATTCTTGTAATCCTAATTCTAGTTATGTTATACTTGATGTTTTAATATTTAGATAGGAAGGTAAAGCAAGGTTAGAAAGTAATTATATTTAATGGACTCTAATTGATTTATTCAATTGGACCATTAAATAGGTCTGGCCCGTTTCAGTTTTATCCTCTCATTTGGATTGGGCCTGTTTTTAACCGTGGTGAGCTCGGTTCTTATTACTTTGATCCAGCTCTTTCTCTCGCCTATAAATAGTCTCCTTCCTTCTTCTGGAGACATCTATTACGCCATATTCAAACCCTAATACAGAACGATAAGAGAGAGAGAGAGCTTGCGAAGAGTTAACCTCTGGTTTTCTTCTTCTTCGTGATCTGAGATACACTGGATTTCGGAATAAGCTGAGAAAGGCAAGGATTATACCGTGTGGTGAAGCGCAGATCCAGGGCAGTTGATTCGAGACCAAGAATCTGATAACTCCTGGGTTTTGGGTGTTTCGTCCGGTTATTTCTGTTCCTTTTCTTATTTTATTCGTTTGCTCGTATTTGGCTTATTCTAGTGTGTTAGATCTGTTACTTTTGTTCCTTGCTTTGCAACCATCTGTGTATTCAAACTTTTCTGAGCTAGTGGATTCTTGGGACCGGGTTTCCCCTGTTGAAACCCCGCAGAGTAGGATTTATCCGAACTGCGTCAACATATCGTGTGTTCTTTTATCTTTAAATTCTGTTTGATATTTGAATCCGGTATTTTGACTGTGACTATAAATATAGTCTGTGAACAGACTGTTTTAGAAGAGAAAAAATAAATGTTAGTTATCATTAATTATGAAGTAAGTGAAAAGTTGAATTACTATAAACTGATCCTAAAAATATTAGATTATTGTTCAAATAAATTTTTCTTATAAAAATGGGATCATATTAATAAATTTGTAGACGTGTTCATGAGCTCTATTTGAAGAAAGAATTGATAGCAAAATTTTATTGACTTACAATGCAAACAAAAATCACGGGATTGACATCAATTATGCACAGATTGACCAATGATTTAGTGTCAAATAGCTCATGTCAAAATTATTTTGACACGAATTTAGCATACTCTAGTCAAATCCTCTTTAAATTTTGGTGAATCCTTGTAAAAAATATATGTCAATCCTGTATTTTTTTTGTAGTGTTGACACGTGTGTACATCTGATAATTATAAAAAGCATTTCTTAAGAATTAGTGTTATTTTCTTCAAAAGAATAGTGTGTGATTTCTTACTTTAATGCCTCCCAATATTATCAATTCTCGCAGTACGTGTGGGAATAGGTGTATGTTTTTCAAACACTATTAAATTAAGGTTGTGAAAGTTGGAAACACTGTCTGATAAAACAAGTCCCAAAGGAAATAAATTACCAGGACAAAATTATAATGAGGTATCAAACTTCAAAGAATCTGGCCTGCAGCCAGGTCACCTTCTCCTAACAAGACTTCAAATTTAATCACGTTTAACTTTTGTATGAGTGAGTAGTAGATTGAATTGAGCAACGGGTGGACGTAGATGGGTAGGTATGGGGTGTCATTAATTAGGGGTAAACATCCCATCTGAATCCCGACAACTACGATTGAGAGGTACTTGCAGAGACAAGTACTTGAGCCAGAATCACACTCACTATCTGTCAATTCGTGATTAAGGTTCAATTTGCATCTTCTCAATTAATTGTTCGGATGGTATTGGGGCTCTCAAGAATGGAGTGTCATCCTTTTCTCCAAAATGTACTACTACGTGTAATAGACTCAATAAAAAAAGAGAGAATTCCCTAAATAAGAGTAAAAAAGTTTTGAAATTCCAAAATAGGAGTATCGTGTTTTTTATTCCTTGAATAAGAGTAAATTTCTGCCAAGTTTGGCACTACTAGGCTTTAAACATGACAGTTTTTCCAAACTTGGCAGATTACTCTTATTCAGAGAATAAAAAACATGATACTCCTATTTTGAAATTTCAAAACTTTTTTGCTCCTATTTAGAGCAATTTCTATTAAAAAAAAATAGGGGATTATAAGTAAATCTCCCATTTTATAATAGGGTTTACCGGTTTACTCGGTAGATTTCTCAATCTTGATCCAAAATACGATTTTGTACTCCATTCATTTATCCCTCCATGTGTTTAACTAATTATCGTTCATAATTAGTTGGCTTGTTCATATGATAAAAGTTACGGGGTACTTATTATTTGGACAAATGAACAACATTATATGTGTGTGTTCAAGTGATAATTTTCTCATTAAAATGAGAGCAATTCTTGGTCTATATACATGAAAATGACATACTAGATGAATTCTTAAAAGTTTGATGGCAAAAATATTGAATATGCAGAACCTTAATTTGCAAATTAAGTTTATCATACGAAGTTTATTGTGTGTTTATAGAGGTGTATAAATAAATGAGATATAAAGAACAATTGTCATACTTACCGGCGTCGGATTTTTCTACTAGAATGTGTACTTTCCGGAGGAAAAATCCTTCCATTTCAAAGATTTATTAGTTACAAGACCAAATTTTCAAATAATTAAAGTTAGAGGACTTAAATTTCCTCCCATATAAAGAACATACAAAAAAATGTACGTATTCATTTATCATAAAAATATGCACATTCGTTTATCTTTGAAATATGTCGGGATAGGTATGATTTATTTAATTTGTTGCTGAAAATAAAATAAAAATTATTGATGGGAAGGAATGCAAAAGTAGTCAAGTCTAGTAACATGTAGCTATATTACACCAGAAAAAAGTGGCGGCCGATGGTATTATCAATGGGTGTCATCACCGGGTAGGACTTCTCGAACTAGTTCTTTGTGAAGTTACATATTTCCGATCCCATATTTCCCGAATCACATTGTCCAGATTATATTTTTGGCAAAAGATTACTTAATCATTATTTATAAGGCTGCCGCAACCCGCAGCTGTCAATAACTCAAATTTCTCATTATTTAATTTTATATGTATTCACTCAATCAATTCAGATTTTATTACAATCCAACCACTGTCAATATATTCATCTATCAAAGTTTATTTAATTAATGTCTTATTTTTATTATTATATATCAATTTTTTTCAATCATTTTTTTGAGATTGATTAAGATTTATAAAGTCAAACATTCCAGTGTAAAAATAAATAAATTTGGAATTTATTTTTTTTATGTTTTTATTTTAAACCCATTTTTGAGATCTTATTTTTTCTAATTTTATAAATGTGATATTGGTGTCATATGAAAGATATTTTTTTAAGAATTTTGATATATATATATTTTAAAGATTTAAGTACAAATAAAAATGTTATAAATCTTTTAATAAAAAGAAGATTTTCTTTTTTCTTGGAGTCCACACCCTCTCTTCACATCTCCTCACCTTCCACCTTTTTTTTGCTTCCGGCTCTTTGTTCCAGCAAGGCAAAGGAGTGAAAGTATGGTGCCAAATTCCCCCATCTTGGATGCCATATACCCACTTTAGCCTCTCCAAATACATAGGGTTGGAGTTTATTTTTAGGGTGAAAATATCTAATTTAGTTTTTCACCGGATAGTTGCTCAGTAGATGTCTAGTTCGCTAACCTCTCAACAATTTAGATTCTACCAATAGTATAGTTGCACCTGCTACTAAAAGGAGAAGTGGTAGTGAAAAAATTGTCTTGACAAAAATGGAAAGAAAAATAAAATAAATGTGCAGTTTTTTCAACCTCCCGGAAGGAGCTTGCGGTTTGTCCAGTCACCACCAAAGATAATGAGATGTCCTTCCCTCCACCCCCTGCGACCTCCGCCTTCCTGATCAATATGTCCCGCGAATGGTTTAGGCGGTGCCTTCCGGAAAGCAACTCCTGCACGTTTTTCGGGTCTTCACCATCCACTTCCATTCTTGCTTGGATGCCTTCTCCAATGATCGGCTCTATCACCATGCGCTTTCTTGGTTCTCCCTCCTGATAAATAGATGGCTAGTGCCTTACCTTTTGAGAGTAAACCTTCAACCATATAAATGTCTGTCTCCTCTGAATTATCCCAGATTTTCTTGTTCATTTTTTTTGTCTCCACAAGCCACATCCTTGTTCTGCTTCCACTAGGGATCATCCACATATTCCCATGATGCACACCCCTCATCTCATTTTTGCACTTAGCCAAGCCCCATATGGCTTCTCTCCAATCCATGGTCCAGAATGAGTGTTAGTTGAACATAACTGATCAGCATGTCCTAATACCCCCATAGATGAATTGAAGCAAAAATTTGAGAGTCTCTCATACCTGAGATTTGCTCATAGCCAATTGTCACCTTCCTGTCTCACCCTCAATCTTCTACCCATGATGTTTTTAATGTTCATGGTCACCCTGATGCGCAATATTGACCTCCAAACACCTTCAAGTGCTTGTTCATCAATCTTAATTCAGCAGATTTCCAATTTCATGTGCAACTTTTTCCGTCATGCAACCCAGGAGTAAATTGTGAACCAGAACCCAAAAATCAGCATGACCCTAACTCACCTCAAGAGGTCTATCAATCTGCTCTAAAAGCCACATAACCACCTCATTCTGTTCAAATGACCGTGGCCCCGTTGGATAACACGACAATATCCCTTTCATGGTAAAACGATAGTAGAAACTTGACATTGCCAATTTCCACAATAGTAACTCTTGTAATAGTCCTCCACACCATCGCCATGGTTTTGTGAAATGAGATTCAATGGATAGGTTTGTCCTGCTGCGTCACAAACCATGCCACCATCAAGAACTGTGGCACCTCGATCTGATATGCAAACAACATTTCAATCCCAACACCATCCAAATATTACCTTTTGTCCCATTTTATGAGTCTCACTCGATTTTGGCATAATTTTTAATAAAGTGTTTGAAAAAGTAAAAGTTGTGGTTGAGATTTGAGTATAATAAAGTGAAATGTTATGAACCACATATTTCTTTCCTAAAAGGTAAATGTGACACTTCTTTTGGGATAATCCAAAAAGAAAAGTAAGATATGTAAAATGGGACGGATGGAGTATCTTTTTGTAAAACAAACTTCTATTTATTTTAATTTTAGTAAATATATAGTATTTCACATTTTAGATAAGTCTAATAATGCAGTTTTTATTATATTAGTTTTTGCCAAAGGTGTTTATTTTTGTGTTTCTTTTCTTAAAATTTATTCTTTATTTTATTAATAAAATAGATTTTCATATCGTTTTTATAATGGAGCTGATCTGTTTATTCAATTGCTTCAGACATAATTTTAGAAATCTCAATAGATTGAACTAGAGGTTGACACGGTCTGGATCGATCCGGATAATTGATAACTTTTCAAGAACCGCCGGTTCCATTTAGTGGTTAGGTTCGACCTGAGTATATCAAGTATCAAAATAGGAACGGGACCTTATCCGCCCCGTTTGAAACAGGTCGGTTGGGTTCGAGTTCTCGATCGGTTCTTAAATAAATACCGCTACACTCACAAAATATCTAGTAGGTAAACATATCAAACTAATTAAGTATCAATGTCAACATAATATAGTAAAAATTTTAAATAAAAATATAAAATAAAGTGTTGAATTAGTTAATAAACCACAAATGTATAAATGGCACACAACTACACAAATCAAATAACACCAAACTTTGAAATGTAAAAAATAAGGAATCATCATTCATAAACTAAAAACATAGCACCACAGAGTCATAAGAAATTAGACAAGTCACTACACATATATGTTTAACAAAACAATTTAAAGCTTATTAAATCTCAAAACGTAAGTAAATTTAAGATGATTAAATTAATGTGTCACACTTTATTGAGCAAGAGTCTTTGTTTAAAAAATAAAGAAAATTTGATGCATTTGGAATAAAGAATTGGGAGTAATAATTTAGAAGTTTATATGGATTTAGAAACTCCTTCTAATAATTCATGAATATAAAATTTTTTGGTAGTGTTGTTAGTACATTATATTTAACATGATAGACTTTTAAAAATATACTCCCTCCGTCTCGCAAAATAGCTCCCGGTTTCCTTTTTGTGTCGTCCCGAAAAATAGTTCACATTTCCCATTTTGGAAAGTTTTGTGTGGTTACCATTCATTTACCTTTTTCTTACTCAACCACAATCATACATTTCTACTTTATTCTCACTTTCTTAAACACCGATTCAAATCCTATTGAGAACGTACTATATTTTATGGGACGGAGGGAGTATATATTTTAAAACGGATCGGTCCGAGTACCCGTTTTTTCAAACTCTAAACCCATACTGTTCCTGAAGTTTTTAGGACCCGTCCTGCCCCTGCCCCATTTGGGTTTCCCAAAACTAAGACCCAACCCTAACCCACCCGAACCCGTATTACCTGACCTGACTTGCAGTTTCTATACCCGTTTGCCCACCCCTAGATTGAACTGATGCCGTCAATTCCATCATCACCAATTCAAACAGCCTCTATATTACACATGTCCCTCTCTAATCTTCTTGTTCACCATTCATGATATCAACTAATCTTTTAATTTCAAATTTTATATATTACGTAGTAAAATCTTACTCCCTATGTCCCTAAATAAATTTCCCATTTTTCTTTTACTTGATGTCTCTAAATAAAGTCTTCTTTTCCTGTTTGTTGAACAAATTTAAACTATGTATCAATTTATTCTACTATCCTTAAATAATGATGACATCGAGGCATATCATAGTAAAATTCATCCGTCCGTAAAAGTGGCATTCCGGGAAGCCCAAAGGAAAAAAATATTTCCTTAATATGCGTGGCCGGGGGAGTGTATATTAATTTAATTCAATTTTTGCAATTTATTAGAAGTTTTAGTAAATGTTTTAAAACTTTGAATTTTTATTAGTAATAACAAAATATACTCCATATATTATTATGAATGAGTTAACTATACTATAAGTCAATTTTCTTTCTTATAAAAAAATTTGGGATCGTCTAAAAACAAAAGGAAAATATTTTAGATAGTAATTATTGTTGATAAAAATGAGATTGGCAACTTCGAACACTGTGAGCATTACATCGTTGTCAAATTGCATGATCTGTTTACTGGCCGTTTGGTGTCAAAAGGCACACTAGAGGGAGTAGGGAGAAAGCTAAGGCAATGGACGAACCATCCAGATGCAATGTTTGTTTATACAGATCGAGAAGGCCAAGTCAAAAAGAAAAGGCATCAAGTGTTTGTAGGGCCACTCAGAATCTAATCAGATCCTACGTGGCAAACTCTCAATGGAACACTATTCCTTTAATCCCTGATTAAGTGGCCTTTGAATTGGTCAGTCAGAGACTAATGGCATGGCCATGTCAGGAAGTCAAGTCTTTGGTGGATTAGGTAATTAGCTAGCTAGGCTTGGAATATGCTTTCACTATCTCTTTACTGATTTTCTACCTTTCTCAATGGTGGGTTCCCTCTATCTTTATGTCGTTATGAGTTTCATAAAAAACAAAAAATTTGATACAAATCAGTGTAAAATTACTTCATAGTTAAATTCCAAATTATCAATACAAGCTAAATGATTAAATGAAGAAAATGAATGGATATGAAAGTACCAATACAAGCTAGATCTCGATGTTGTACCATTAGAGCTTCATGTTGCCCCATCAAAATCTCTTGGTGCACCTCGTAGCACAACATGAAGTTCTCGTAGTGCAACATGAGTAAATTAAACGGTTGAGATTTGTATGCATACGGTGAAACATCTAACGTGTAGTGAAGTAACACTACAAAAAACAGCTTTTTTGTCACGGGTTTTGTCTCAGACAGTTTTGTCAAGCTTTGTCATGGACTTGGTCACGGAACATTTCCCCGGTCAACGAAAAAATGTTGGCACGAACGAAATCCCTCAAAAAAATTCTCATAGATAAAATCTCTGACAAAATTCATGACAAATGGCCGGCGGTACATAAAAAAATCTGAGAGGCCTTTTTTCGTTGCGGAATTTTGTCACGGATGTCGATACGTGACAAAATTTGAAATTTTCACCCATCACCTTTGTCACGATTTTTCCGTGACAAAGTTCCTGACAAATTAAAGTTGATTTCGTCGATTTTTCCGGGCTATACATATTCATTTTGTCATGAACTAATCCATGAGTCCATGACAAAATAAAAAAAAAAATAGTTTTTTTTGTCGGTTGCACATTGTCACGGATCGCATCTGTGACAAAATTAAAAAATGATTTTTTTTTATGGCCAACACGTTGTCACGGATGCAATCCGTGACAAAATAAAAAAAACTAATTCTTTTTATTTGCGGCTACACTCTTTCATGGGTTAATTCAGTGACAAAAAACTATTTGGCCGGTCGGCAAGGACATCTGACAGGGATGTGTGTTCGTGACAACACCGTGACAAAATCTTGTCACGGATGATTTTCCCTGACAAATATTTTTCAGGACTCTGACGTCAGGGATTTTTTCATGACAAAATCCGTGAAAAAATTATTTGTTAGAAATTTTTTATAAAGGGGTACGTGACAAAATCCGTGACAAATGGACTGTTTTTTTGTAGTGTAAGAAGAAATTTTTTGCTAGGTGAGGAATGAGTAATGAATTCGCCCTCAGCTGCTAGATTATATTGTGTTGCAATGAAAACATTTTGTACTAAAAGCTAGCTGCAACATTGGGGGATGATGTTTTTCATAAATACTTGTGAAAATCCCGTTTTACATGCCTTTAAGGCAATATGAAACTGTTTTAGTGCAATATTATTAAAGAAAGAATGACACAAATATTACAACGACTAACAGTCGCTGCTCACGGGCCTTCTATCTTCTGTCCTCCTCGTTGAACCAGTACCGTGCAACCTTCTCTCTTCCGTCCTCCTCGCTGAACCAGTACAACGCTAGGCTCCGCCGCCACTTGCAACCACCATCTCCGACACAATCTAACTTCATCAACCATGGCATCTATCACCCCAGCCCTCAGATTCGTCGATGATAGAACCATGGATGACCATCGATGGTGAACAATGTGCAAATCACAATGCGTGACTGCAGTTTTGAAAGGGGTCGGAGCACAGATGGGGTCGTCGACATGCTTCGTCGGATTTTAGAGACAACCGCGACTTTGGTGGCTACAGCAGTTCCCAGGGGCGGATCCAGGATCGAGAGATGGGGTGGGCTAAGCAGCAGTAATTTTTTTTTACTATACATACCAAATTTAGCCCAGGGTTGTTATCGAACAAAGATTTTTTTGAATTATATACTCGAGTTCGGGCTTGATTTCGAATCTAATTTAATGAATTGAGTTTAACAAGTTTCGAACTCGAACACGGAGTAGGTTTTGAGTTTGAATAATTATTCAAGCCGAGATCGAACATAGTGATGTTTCGATCCGAACACGAGCCTATCGTTCACATATAAATTATACTATTGTACATATCATAAAATTTAAACGTTTTAGTGCAATTTTTATAAATTTATTAATGATTAATAAAAATTTGAATACTCTAAACTTCTACATTCGAGCATGTCTATCGAGCATTGAAATCCAAATTTGAGATAGTTTGAATTTCAGGGACTACAGCATGTGGAGGATCCTCATTGACCAGATCTTGCACTGTTGTAGGTATAGGTTCAGAACTCCCTTCACCAGTTTGACGATTCACTTTCGAAAAGAATGATGAAATCAACTTCTTTCCCTTCTTGGCAACATGTTCATTATCCATTCTAAAAAACATTTTCAATATTGGTATATATTAAAATACGTATATATATAAAATAAAACTATTTAATTATGTACTGAAAA